GAAACAGGGGGAGGGGGGGTCACGCGACGGTGTCAAAATCGGATTAAGGGGTCTCGTGAACGGCTCCGCACTCCCCTCTCTGCCACTTGTCACTGTCCTCCTCACTCCTCTGCGGTCTGTACAGTATCATATTAGTTTCAAAGGGCTCGGAGAACGCCGTGTTGTTCACTTCGTTATCTCGATTCAGGATCAACTGCATAAGCAAAGACATTTGCTACTCCTCGATCCCCATCGGTATCTCTCACAGGTCACACTGTTATTGCGCCGGCTTCTGTTACTCCTGACTTCTCTCTGTGTGAGAGGGGGGAGTAATACGAAAACAGATAAGTCTGCAGAAAGATACTTATATTCCCTTTTCATTAAATCATACACATAGCATCCATTTTAAACCCTAATTTAACTATTTATTACTCGTTTGAGTTGGTGTAAACACACGGCAATTCATTGTTGACTCAGTGGGAATGAATAATAAATGTGTGATGATATCTCTGTACCTGTGAAGGACCGTCTTGTGGCTTTGGTGGACTTTGTGAGGTGAGGAGGCAGAGCGCTGGTCTCTGGACTCTGTGGAGTCTCGTACAAATACATTTTATTTCCCATATTTCCTGCTGTAAACAGTGCAGTGTCCTGAGGAATAAACAGCTTTTGGGGGGGAAAGAAAATGACATTCCGCCTTTAGAGACAGTTGATCGAAGATTGTGAGTTTTAATGGTACAACAGTGACTCCTGTGGGTCAGCTGAGGTACTGCACATGGAGTTCAAAGTTCAAATGTATTGTTTTATTCTCCCAAAACGATTTAAGCCTCTTTGTGGTCTTTTTGTGTAGCTTTGTGCTCTTTTCTCTCTCTCCTCTGTGGTCTTTGTGCTCTTTTTGTGTAGCTTTGTGCTCTTTTCTCTCTCTCCTCTGTGGTCTTTGTGGTCTTTTTGTGTAGCTTTGTGCTCTTTTCTCTCTCTCCTCTGTGGTCTTTTTGTGCATCTTAATGGTCTTTTTGTGTATACGTGTGGTTTTGTGTCACTTTATAGTCTTTTTGTGTAAATTTGTATTTGCACTCTGTGTCTTTCTTGTCATTTTATTTACCCACTTTTTCTCTCTCCGTGTATCATTTTCAGTCTCTTTCTTGTCATTTTGTGTCCCTTTAGTTTCTTTCTGTCTCTTTCTTGTCGTTTGTTGTCTCTTTACAGTTAATCTGTGTCTCTCTGTGTTTTTTTTCATCCTTTCCACATTTGTTCTGTGCCTTTTTGTGTCTCTTTGTAGCTGCGTGTTGTTGTTTTGGTCATTTCCATGTTTATTTTGTGGTCATTTTGAATCTCCTCCCTGTTAGTACATATCTTTGACTGACGTTTTGTTGGTGAGTGTGAGGGTCTGTCCCCCTGCACAAACCCCACTGGTTTTACGAGAAAACGCAGCTAGACTTATTAAAAAAAGACAATAGGTCCTGGAATAGTTCGTATAACTATTTCTGTATTGGAATAGTTATTAATGAGAAAGGCCATTAAGTCCCAGCAAGTAGTCTGCATTTCATCCCAAAGGTGTTAGCCGGAGTCCAATCAGCACTCCATCCTTTTCACACCAAACTGTGGAAACTGTAAAATGTATTTATCGCCCTCATTCATCATGCTGAAAGCTACCAGACGTCAGATCACACAGCGGCGAGGTCGTGGGAGGGTTTGTCCACTTACGTCTCACCGCACTGAGGAAATAGACTCAAATACCTCCTGTGCATTCCATCACACGATCTGTATTCTGTAAATCTACGTTTCCACACGGCTGCCATGTTGACCGTGTCCAACGGTGCAGTTCACCGTTTTCTCAGCAGACGAGGCCGATGGAGGCTGGGGTGGAGGGGGGGGGGGGAGCTGGAGGCCGCAGGCCCCTCGCATCCGACTATTGGACGACAATTTAAAAAAGCCAGAAGCACGTTAAAGAAATGCAGAGCTGCGATGGATCCGCTGTGACGCTCGGGTATAGAAAGAGAGTGTTGTTCTGCAGCCTCTCACCTCCCGGAGGCAAACAATAACCTTCTTGTAGCTCGCGTTTTAAAAGCCCATTCAGGCAAACTCCTGTTGCCCGAGACTCAAACCAACGACATGCTTGTAAAAAAAGAAAAAAAAAAAAGAAAGGACCAATTTGCCTCCCGACGGTTTCTGCAGGCGAGACGCCGCTCACCCCGAGAGCCGCGCTCGGGACGATTAGCATCTCATTATCTGTCCTCTTTCTCTAAATTTGACTCAAGTTCAAAGAGGACTGTCCTGCGATGCGTCACTTCATTCGGGTCGGATCTCATTTCCTCCCACTTCACAGGAGACGAGCGGCTGCTGTGGTTTACTGCAGACCTCCGTCTGCTCCTCGACTCCTGCATTTGATCTTTACGGCCGAGCTCTGACTTCTCAATATGTTGATGGATTTTATGAGAGTACTCCGCTGATCGCTGAGCTTATTTTATGTATTTAGAGTGGAGGAGGCGGCCTTTGATGGTCTGAACTAATCTTCCTCCACATTTCTATCTGACATCTGTCATCGACGGATCCAAAGATAATTTTAATTCACTTTCATTTCAACATCCTCCGGAACTTGTTTTGCATGCAGCTCCGTGCACGGCCTCGGGAAAGTCATTTTCCAGACAAAAAATAAATCAACAAAACCACCAGGATGGTGCATGATTGGTTCAGTAGATACAGTCCTGCTATTTCATTCAGCACTGACTCTCTTCAGTCGCAGCAGGAGAAGTTGCTTTTACCAAATACGATTTGGGAGAGACATCGCAAGACTCGTAAGTGGTTGGAAATGTCGACATTTATTGGTTTGTCCTGTCCGGTACACGTGTACAAGTGTTTTTGAGCAAGTTACTAAACCCCCAAAAACAACGGCTCATGGGCGAATGTATAGGGGAAAAAAATGATGAAATATTGCAGTTTCAAAATGCACTTATAGAGCCAGAATAAAAGAGCCAGATGTAACTAATGAAGGCTTAATAATATCCCCCACAACATCCTCCTTTACTGTGTGTTTTCCATCCTCCTCTCCATCCATTGGCCAGATCTTCTCTCCTCCACCATGTAACCGCCCCGTTCTCCTCACCTGAGGATCCCCTCTCTCCACCAGCACAGGTCCGTTGAGCTTCTGCCACATCGTCCAGCATGTGCATGTTCTATTGTCAGTGCGTTTGAAAAGTATTGACTGTTTGTCGAGAGGAGAGTTCTCACACACGCACAGCAGGGAGTCTTCCTCTGACGACCATGAATGTGATCGATAACTAAGCTTGATAGCAACCTGGAGAGCCAAAACGTTGAACGTGTGTCCAGTCCACTCTGTGATTCCATTACGCTGCTGATTCACGGCCTACTGAACGTCCAGGCGGCCTGATTACAAAAGCCACAACTTGTCAAATACAAAAGCCTGAGTAAACATTTACGTTCCTTTAAACGAGGGTTGTAATTATCCTCCGCGTAGAGACGTAAGGACGGACGAAGGGACGTCACTTCCCAGATCTTCTACGTGTGGGATTCAAACCGCTCCTCCTTCTTGTCGATGAACTCATGTGACCTGGGACTATTTAATGAAACATGTTTTTGGAAATGATTGATGCCTTGAATTCACAAGGATTTCTTCACCAGTGAAGGTTGTGCAGTTAATATGCTAGCAGTCAACTAATGCAGACCTGCAGCAAAGTAGTACTACAGTAGTAGTATTATCTGCCTTATTTCTACTAAATGTATTTCTAATGTTACTCCCTTAAACTGTAATGTGAACACTGCTGAAGTCCTAAAGATGGAAGAATGTGAAGACAGAGTCAAATATTTATATTTATGAAACAGAAGTTCTGTGAAATTTTTGAATGTTTTGGTGAATTTTCCATCATTTTGTCTCCTTTTTTTAATGTGTTTTGTCTTTTTTCTCATTTGGTCTGCTCTTATTTTGTTTTACTCTAAGTGTCTGTTTTGGTGATTCTTCTGTGTTTTTTCACAATGTTGTCTGTTCTGGTGTTTTTTAAATTTCCCTCATCATGGAGGCTTTCATGTTTTTTGAGTCATTTTCACTGTTTTGCTGAATATTTCACATTTTTCAGCAATTTGTCTTTTTTGCTTTTATTCTTAATTTTTGTCTTTTTAAATTCCCAAAGTCAACCAATCATGTGGTAGTCATGGCTTTTATTTTTAAAATAACTTTGTGTTTTAACATGTTCATATAGTACATACGTAACTGAAGACAAAGAAAAAACTACTGAACACAGATCATATTTAATACTTTCCTGCCTCCTGCTGTTCTACTTTGGGTGGAAGTACCATCGTTTGGCCACTAGGTGGAGCTACTTACCCACAAAAGGAACTTTCCTGCAACTTCAATTCTATGCAAATACCTCGACGGCTATTATGAAGTCAGGAAACGACTGAAAACCCTTATTAGACACGTTCCTTAATTAAGAAATACATATTTCGATATCATTCGAATCGCCAATAACTGAATAAAATACATTGATTGGACACAGAAAGCTAAAAATTGTGTTTGAACTACGATGCAAATCATTTTAATGTATACGATCGTTCCTATACAGAAAAGTATTGCGATATACACGATCGCACTTGAATGGTTTTAATATAGTACGACAGGTAACAATCCAAACATGACGTATTGCTCATCAAATTCGATTTCAAAGCAACTTCCCCCATTTGGTGTCCATAAATTCCCTCCTGTTATTCCAAGTATTTTTTTAAAAGAGGAGCATGACTTCTGTCGTAGGATGTGTGTGTGTGTCTGTAGGTTATCCTGAGCTCATTGTTTTAACGCCCGTTGACGTGTTAGTGGAGTAATTAAACGCGCTCTGCGCATCGTTACCTGTATCACTTGATTGACATCTTCTCCTGCAAGCGGGGCCGCTAGACACAATGGAGGGGGAGGCGGCGGGAGGGCGGGCAGGAGCGCAGCCATCCAATGGGATCGGCGATGGGAGGGAGTTTGTGGCTCTCCAGCTTTGTCCGAACTTACAGGGACTCCTGAGCGCAATATGACCGAGGCACCGTTATTCCACGGGACGCTCTGCGCGCCGCGCACCCGCTCGCCAACTTCGGATAAACTTTTTTATTGTTTTTAAATATTAGTATTATTGTTTCGCGTACCTTGCACGCGTGAGGCCGTTTTGTTTCACCTTTCAAAGTATTACCAGTTTCCTGCCTCTTTTTTTTTTTTTTTTTGGTGTGGAGTTGAATTAAAAGTTTCCAGCTGCAGGGATCCCCGTCTCCCTTCAAGGAGGATTTCTGCGCGCTGCGCGGCATCAGGAGGAGCAGAAGAGCACTCGTGGAGTACTTTGGGACAGTGAATGACGAGCCGCTCACTGACTAACTAATGCGGCGCTTTGGTGGGTGCAGTGGATGCGTCTCCGGCATGGACTCTGTCTGACTTGACCATGGCGCGCACAGGTAGGGGCTTGGGCCGCTTTCACTTCGTTCTGCTGGCGCTGTGGACCCTGTCGCGGCACTCCGCGTCCAGCCAGGTCCGCCAAGAGTTCCAGGTCCCGGAGGAGCAGCCCGTCGGCACCTACGTGGGCACCATAGAGACCAAGCCCAGCTTCTCGTACCGCTTCAGCGAGAGCCACAAACTTTTTGCAATCAACGCCACCACCGGGGTGATCTACACCTCCTCGGTGATTGACAGGGAGCTCCTGCAGAGCGATGTCATCAACGTGGTGGTGCTGTCCAGCCAGCCCACGTACCCCACCGAGGTGCGCATAGTGGTTTTGGATATCAACGACAACTCCCCGGTGTTCCCGGACGCGTCCATCGTCGTGTCCTTCAAGGAGGACGCCAGCAGCGGGCGGCAGGTGATCCTGGACACGGCCACGGACTCCGACATCGGCAGCAACGGAGTGGATCACACCACGTACAGGATCGTGAAAGGCAACGAGCAGAGGAGGTTCCGCCTGGATATCACGGTCAATCCCAGCGGAGAGGGGGCATTCTTGCACCTCGTCTCCACCGGAGGCCTGGACAGGGAAGTCACTCCCTTCTACCAGCTGCTGGTGGAGGTGGAGGACAAAGGGGAACCCAAAAAGTTTGGCTACATGCAGGTGAACGTCACTATTCAGGACATAAATGACAACCCTCCTGTTTTTGACCAAGAACAATATCAGAACAGCGTCTTTGAGGACGCAGCCGTGGGCTCCAGCATTCTGCAGATCACGGCGTCGGATCGGGATGAGGGAGCTAATTCGGAGGTCAGGTATTTTTTAGACGAGGGAACACCTTTCCAAATCGACCCCAAAGCCGGGACCATCATTATGAAAGAGGGTTTGGATTATGAGAGTAAGCGAGAGTATTCCCTGACCATCCATGCCGTGGACAACGGGGTGCCGTCCCTCTCGGGGAGGACAGAAGCCACCATCAAACTTTTAGACGTGAACGACAACGACCCGGTGGTGAAGTTCAGGTATTTCCCCACCACCTCCAAGTTTGCCTCGGTGGATGAAAACGCACAGATCGGCACCGTGGTGGCTCTGCTCACTGTCTCGGATTCAGACTCCCCCACTGCCAACGGCAACATATCCGTTTCAATCCTAGGCGGCAACGAGCAGAGGCACTTTGAAGTGCACACTTCCCCCGTGCCCAATTTGAGTCTCATCAAAGTGGCCAGTGTGCTGGACAGGGAGCGGATTTCCTCCTACAACCTGACCGTGTCGGTGTCGGACAACGGCGCGCCCGTCGCCAGGTCCTCCTTCGCCAGTCTGGTTATTTTTGTGAACGACATCAACGACCACCCGCCCATATTCCAGCAAACCCTGTACAGGGTGGACATCAGCGAGGACGTACCGAAAGGCAGCTACGTCAAAGGCGTTTCTGCGACGGACGGCGACTCCGGGCAGAACGCCAACCTGCGCTACTCCCTGGTGTCTGGAAACGCTTTGGGCTGGTTCTCCATCAGCGAGAACAGCGGTCTGGTGACCAGCGCCGCTTTGCTGGACCGGGAGATAGCGTCTGAAATTGTGCTCAACATCAGCGCCAAAGACCAGGGGCTGCAGCCCAAGATCTCCTACACCAAACTGGTGGTAAACGTCACCGACGTGAACGACCAGGTGCCCACGTTCGCACAGGGCACGTACCACGTCTCGCTGGCGGAGCACGCCGCCGCCGGCACCGAGCTGCTGGTGCTGTCGGCCTCGGACGACGACGACGGGGCCAATGGAACCGTCCGCTTCGCGTTCGACGGGGAGACTCCGGCCGCTGTCCAGCAGCTGTTCCGCCTGGACGCGCTTTCGGGGCGACTGAGCACGGCCGCGGAGCTTGACCGGGAGGAGCGGGCCTCCTACTTACTCCACGTCCAGGCAGCAGACGCAGGCAGCCCCGCTTTGCACTCTGTAGGGAAAGTCAACATCACCCTGAGGGATATCAACGACAATAGGCCGGTTTTCTACCCGCTGCAGTATTTTGCCAACGTGAAGGAGAACGAGCCCTCGGGCTCTTATGTAACCACCGCCTCAGCAACAGACCCCGATTTGGGTCGAAACGGCACGCTCAAATATATGATTACAGCTGGGGATTCTTCCAAATTTCGCATTAATAGTAACACAGGGAAAATTACCACACTTGTGCCCCTGGATAGAGAGGAGAAGACCGCCTACCAGCTGCAGGTTACAGCTGCAGATGGTGGCGGCCTGCGCTCACACACGCAGGCCATAGTGACTGTGACCGTCATCGACACGCAGGATAACCCCCCGGTCTTCAGCCAGGAGGTCTACAGCTTTGTCATGTTTGAAAACGTGGGCCTTGGGACAGTCATAGGCACCGTGTCGGCCACCACCGTGGATCTGAACACAAACATTTCATATCTCATCACCTCGGGGGACCACAGGGGGCTTTTTTCCGTGAACGGCGCGGGTCAGATCACAGCGTCGAGCCAGATAGACAGGGAGGAGCGGGACTTCTATCAGCTGAAGGTTGTAGCGAGGGCTGGGGAGATCACGGGCGAGGCCCTGGCGAACGTCACGGTGAAGGACTTAAATGACAACGGGCCTCATTTCCTTTACGCCGTGGAGCATGTGAGCGCGGTGGAAAACTGGAGCGCGGGTCACGTCATATTCCAGGCCAAAGCGTCGGATCCCGACGAAGGCACAAACGGCGCGGTGGTTTACAGCCTCAAGCAGAACCCCAGGGGGCTGTTCCACATTCACGAGAAGCACGGCCTCATCACGCTGACCGGGCCGCTGGAGGTCACCACCAGCTCCTACGAGGTGGAGGTCACGGCGTCCGACACGGGGGTCCCCCGCCACAGCTCCGACCTCGTCCTCATCGTCAGCGTCTATGACGTCAATGACAACTCGCCGGTATTCGACCAGCTTTCGTACGAGGTCGTCATCCTGGAGTCTGAGCCTGTCAACAGTCGCTTTTTCAAAGTGGAGGCCGCCGACATGGACTCCGGTCTCAACGGGGAGATTATGTATGACATCGCCGGGGGCAACACCAGGGATGTGTTTGGCATCTTTCCAGACGGGCAGCTGTACATCAAAGACGAGCTGGACCGAGAGGCACAAGACCGATATAACTTAGTGGTCGTGGCCAAAGACCGGGCCGTGGAGCCGCTGAGCGCCGCCGTCAACGTCAGCGTGATTCTGGATGACGTGAACGACAACCGCCCCCTTTTCAACAGCACCAATTATGTGTTTCATTTTGAGGAAGAGCAGAAGAGGGGGTCGCTGGCTGGCCATGTTTACGCCGAGGACAAGGACTTTGGCCCAAACAGCGAGGTGAGATACTCATTTGAGACTCCGCAGCCCAACTTTGAGCTGAACGCCATCACGGGGGAGTTGACCAGCACGCTGCAGTTTGATCGCGAGGCGCTCATGAGACAAAGAGGCGCCACCGTGTTCGGCTTTGTGGTCGTCTCGTCGGATCAGGGTCTCCCCAAGCCCCTCAGGGACCAGGCCAAGGTGCAAGTTTACATTCAAGACATCAACGACAACCCGCCTAAATTCACAAAAGACATTTACCAGGCCTCCATCTCAGAGTCGGCTCCAAACATGACTCAACTGCTGCGGGTCTCCGCCTCTGATGTGGACGAGAACAAAAACGGGTTGGTTCATTATCACATCTCGGAGGGCAACGAGGAAGGACAGTTCGCAATTGACAGCAGCTCCGGACAAGTTACTTTAGTAGGAAAGCTGGACTATGAATCTACGTCCTCCTATTCATTAAAAATCCTAGCTGCTGATGCAGGAGCTGTGCCTCTGACCTCCTCCTGCATGCTGAGCATCAGCATCCTGGATGAGAACGACAACTCCCCCTCCTTCCCTAAATCCTCTGTGTCCGTGGACGTCCTGGAAAACATGAGGATAGGGGAGCTGGTGGCCTCGGTGACCGCCGCCGACGCGGATTCCGGTCAGAACGCCGACATAACGTACAGCATCACGGCCACGAACAACCACGGCACCTTCAGCATCAGCGCCAACACCGGCAGCATCTTTTTGGATAAAAAGCTGGACTTTGAGACTCAGTCACTTTACAAGCTCAACGTCACGGCGAAGGACAACGGGAGACCAGCTCGCTCCTCATCCGTTCCTGTGGTCATTCACGTCAGGGATTTTAACGACAACCCCCCCGTGTTTACCCCTGGGGACATTTTCAAATCCATCCCCGAAAATCTTCCCCTCTCAGCTTCTGTCATGACCATTGCAGCTCACGACACGGATGCAGACATAAACGGGCAGCTGGAGTACTCCATCGTTCACCAGGTTCCCCGGGGGGGCCACTTTGGCATCGATTCAGGCACCGGGCTCATTTACACCAGCAAGGAAATCGACAGGGAGTTTTCAAACCTGTTCGAGCTGACAGTCAAAGCCACCGACCAGGCCGTGCCAGTCGAATTCCGCCGCTTTGCCCTGAAAAATGTCACAGTTTGGGTCACAGACTTGAATGATAACGTCCCCACTTTTATGTCCCAGAATGCCCTCGTAGCCGAGCCCAACATAGTCATCGGCTCCATCCTGACAACCGTGTCGGCCTTTGACCCCGACGAGGGTTCCAACGGAGAAGTGGAGTACGAGCTGGTGGAGGGGGACTCGGACACTTTCATCATGGACAGATACAGCGGAGACATCCGCCTGGCCTCCCAACTGTTGCAGTCCCGGCTCATGTACACGCTCACCGTGTCGGCCACCGACCACGGCGACAGCCGCAAGACCTCCAGAACCGAGCTCACCATCATCCTCCGAGGGTTGGACGGGCCTGTTTTCTCCCAGCCGAAGTACATCACCATCCTCAAAGAGGGCCAGCCGCCGGGCACCAACGTCATCTCCCTGGATGCCTCCAGCCCGCGGGGCTCAGCGACCAAAGTGGAGTATTTCATCGTGGGGGTCCGCAGTGGCGGAAAAGCCGTGGGGCGCCTTTTCACCATCGGCCGGCACACTGGAGTGATACAGACGGCCGCAGAGCTGGACCGAGAACAAGGCAGCGACCTCTACCTGGTGGTCGTGTACGCCATCGAGACGGACGCCAGCCAGCCCAGGACGCAGCGCGCTGAGGTGAGTGCACCGCTGACTTCTCTGCAAAGCCACATCGCATTCAGCTGCGATCGGTTCTGCATTTGATCTGTCTGGCAGGGCGAGGGCACGAACTCACTCGCTGACATTTGTAAGAGACGTTGGGATGGAATAAGTATAATGGGATCAAGGTTTTAGCTGGAGGGGGAGGGAGTCTGTCCAAGGCTCACATAAAACAGAGCCACCTATGGCCTTTGCATTCATTCAATTCCCTTTTTTATGCATGGCTCTGCATTTTATTGAATCATAGTTTCCTCGTACATGAGAAAGAAGGCCCACGCTGATTATTGTCGTTTCCAATAACATACTAGTCATAACAAATCATCTTAAATGTGCCTCTTCTAGTGTTGGAATGGTCTTGGAAAGGGAAATAATGAGTGCTGCGAGTCGTCTGCACGAGCTCTGAAACGTTCTTATCAGCGGATATGAACTGCACAAATCAAAAAATGACCACTTTTCAATTTCCCCACCGACTCAGAGCTGCAGTTTCAGGTTCAAGACCCTCGATAGTTTCCCCGCTGTCTCAAGTTGGAGGGTAATTCATGAGGTCTTCCTGTGCAGCTATGCATCACCGGTGCCAGTATTACTCTGAGCCCTCAAGCTTGAGGCTGTTTTGGCACCGGGGTGGTCCTGGGGTCCCTTTTTATACCACAGGGAACTGCGCCACAGGCAATAAGTGACCATTAAAATTGGGTGACCCCTTAAGACTCTGTGAAAAGACGCTGAGGGCAAAGTGAGTGAAACTTAAGCTGTCCGCTGGGTTTGCATTGTGCGATGCACCTTTTTCAGGCTTTCCCTCCGGAGAGAGTTAAGTCTTCTGAAATGTGTTGCAGGAACCCTAAACCCACATTTGGGTGGCTAAGGCTGCCTGTCAAATGAAAAACAAATGTGAGATATGTATACTATGTGTACGTTCTGCACATTTTAACCAGGACTTGAGATGCCGTATTATTACAGGCTTGGTGGCGCACACACTGTACATGTACTGGATGTCTTAGAGCAAAGAACAAAAGCTCTGTCCACAGCTGAGAAATGTGTTTTGTGTTATCACATTTCGAAAATGCCTGATGTGAAATGATTTAAGTTTATGTATTTGACAGTTGTTATTAATGCAAATGTTGAAGCTGAAATGTAATACAGCAATCCGTTATTTGGGGAAACACTCAACATGTTATTGATATCAAGGATTATTTGGCAAAATGGTGTTCGTCAAGTCAACGGGCCAAATGGGAACACCAACGGTCTCCCTCTTTGTCTGCCGCGGAGACGGTGATGTGCTTTCCTGCAGACTCCACCGTCGGGCTAATGAGAGAACATGGCGCTTCAGCGCTCGCTTTTCCCAAACATTAAACTCTAGATTGGTTTCATGCTAAGCTTGAACTTTCTCACCCCGTGGAGAGATGACTTTACCACACCACCTGGCTGAGCAGTCAGTCTCTCCAGTTTGAGAAGCGTGAGATCTAATAACCGGGAGGAATTCAAATGACCTACACGTTTGGAAATGTGGGCTGGTTTTGTGTTTTTTCCGAAATGCAACAGTCTTTGCAGCCACAGTTTTATTGGCTAAAACGCACAGGTCGCATCGCTCTTCCGTCTCCTCCGTCAGCGGGATCTCAAAGGACTGCGTGGTGCGATAGTGTAAACCTTCAGACTAATGTTTATACACCAGATACTCGGTAGCAACTGGGGGGAGATTATTTTCACCCCGGGGGTTTCGACCCTTTCACATTCTCCATTTTCCCCATTGATTGCATTCATGAGAGAAAGTTGGCATTTTCTTTCTGTCCTCTCCCTTGCACTATGTGTAATGTTTTGGAAATGCTCAAACAAAGGGAATTCTGCTGGACATGCGCTATCGACGCTCGCGATCTTAAACAAATCAGGACGCCGCTTTGGAGAGAGTGTTTTTTTTTTTTTTTCCTCCGTAACTTCTTGGCATCTTTGAAAGTTTCATTGTCAGTGATTGTTGATTAGATCTGTCATTGCATGACTGATGGCACTTTTGTCCTGCGTCTGATTTGCACTGGGCATTTCCTTAAGACTGCCAGTGTTCTTTTAATCCTCAACATGTTCATATTTTGTGGTTGTGTGTGTCATGCGACTGACTTTATCACCCAGAGATACTTTTGTACTTTATTCCTCCCCAAAACTGGTACAATTAACAAGGAGGATCTCTCGGCAGTAGATTCCTTCTGTGAATCCATTCCGGGTGTTCAGAAGGATGTTTGGTTTTATTTCACTTCAAGTTTTGATTCATCACATCCTACAGCGTACTTGTTTGGAGTTGGAAACCAATAACTAAAGGAGCTATTCCACTCGAGGGCTCAACATAATCAGTGATGTGGCGGCCGGTGTTTCCTCATCAGCTGAAGACAAAACACCTGCACTGGAAAGCAAATTAGCCTTTTTATTTCCTAGAAAGGGATCTTTAGTTGTTTGTTACTAGGATATCAAGGCACCAAAGGCAAAGGTTAGAGCCAGAAAGGCACGTAGAAGACTTTCATTTCACCTCTTCCGTCTCTTGGGATCTGAACAACAGAACGATTTTACGTCTCGCTCTTCACAATATGTTGTATGTCTGTCATTTGAAAAGCAACCCAATCGGATGGAATGGCTGCAAAGCTTTTGAAAATACCTTTTTCTAAAGCCTCAGTTTCCTCCGACTTCTGAAAAGTGAAGCCGAGGCTGAAGTGCTGCACCACAGAAAACGAGGTCTGATCTGTTTCTTGTCCTGTACTCGTTCCCTTCCGCCCCCACAGACCAGACTGCAACTACAACTGTTTTCTTGAGCTCACTGTGAATCAAAATGAAGTGCTGTTTTTTTTTTTTTTTTCTTTTCGGAGAGGCCACATCAGTCTTCGCCCCCCCTCCCCTCAAAGGCATTGTTCTCCCCATAAAGTAAACACGGTCGGAGTGTTCAACAGGCCTTCCTTTGTTTTGCCGTCGCAGATAAAGTGTTGCGCGGCCCCGGACGCGGATCCGAGGGGGGGGGTTCTGTTGTTTTTGTGGTCTGTGCCAGCGTCTTGCCCTGGCAGATTTAGGAGTGTGTCTGGATGCCCCCGTCGGACAGCTTCCCTCCCGTCCCGTCACCGGTGTGGAACGTACGGTGGAGCTGTTAGTGGAATTTAAGAGAGAAAGGAGTTTGGGGGGGGGGGGGCTCTGGACGTGTCAGACGGTGGTAATGGGAGTTGTGAGAATGAGGGAAGGGAGACATTTTTTAAGGAGGCGGGTCCTCCTCGAAGGGCCGGACGCAGTCGGCATTGCAGGGAATCATGGGAAGGAAGAGGCGACCAGCTCTCGTCCATCCACTCTCGTCTCACTCTATATGGAAACCGTTTTAGTCCAAATTAAATAAATGAATAAATACGTAAATACATGAAATATGCATTTGAAATACATCATGAAATAAATAAATGAGGCAATAAATACTAAACACATTTTATTTCATGGTACTTTTATTTCATAATGCCACTTTTCAAATGCATATTTCATGTAATTACGTATTTATTAATTTATTTAATTTTGACTAAAACGGCATTCCATATCACTCAAGTCCTACGTCTCTGTCACTGCGTCTCTTTGCCGGTGGGAATCTGTTTGTGTCCATCGCTGCGTTGTGTGATGGTCTCATCCATAAATCTCTTTGTTGACTTCAAAGTCCGCTTTTCCTTCTGCCGTTTTCTTTTGTCCTCGCGTTTGTGGGATGCTGAAACCTCCGACATGAGGGAAACGAGGCAGAGAGGAGAAGGTCACGAACAGCCGGACAGTACAGAGCCTGATGTGTGTGTGTGTGTGTGTGTGTGTGTGTGTGTGTGTGTGTGTGTGTGTGTGTGTGTGTGTGTGTGTGTGTGAGAGAGAGAGCGTATTAATACAAGTTTAAATATCGACGAGTACAGTCTCCAGGGAAAAGGCAGAACTGATACCGACGGCCCCCCAAGTGCTGCATTCAAACTGAACAGAAAAGAACCGGTTTGATGACATTGGATTTATACACCAGCTTAGTATTACAATTTCATGTTCCTCAGGAGGGACATTTTACACCAAGTGGACGAGGAGTGATGCGGTGCATTGTAATCCATGGTCTAATTGGGGTCTTTCTGGTGTGTGTGTGTGTGTGTGTCTTATGTGAGAACGGTTGATAACAGTCCAGTCCGGCCGTGACCGGCCCAATAATTCACGCAGTAATCCGTCCCGACGCGCCTTTTAGAGACGGCCATCGAGGAGGCGAGCATCTGCTCGGCCTCCTGGTAGGTGGTCGCTCCCGGGGGAGCACAGCGCTCGCCCGCTTTACGAGGCAATCGCACTAAAAGTTGGATAAACATTCGCTCATGCGTAGATGCGTAACGACAAATGCTACAAAGTACACACACACACACGCTGACCACAAGTTCAAACTTTATATTATTATGATTATCTTACTCTCTAATTAAATCATTGGGATACTTTGTGACTGCGTTCCTGCAGATTCCTACTGAGCCTTAATGACACCAGGCTGTTTGTCATTGTTTGTCTTGTTCCATTTGTTTTCTTGGACAGCGAACCTGTGTGGACATATAACGGCTGCCCCCCCCAGCTCATTCACAGCAGTTTTCCCTCATCGTCCTGTTCACCTTTTTTTTTTTTTTTATTGTTTTCCTGATAAAGAGGCGACCGGCACAGCTCACAGCCGACAGTAGTCAAGCTCTTGAGGCTGAAAGGTCGACAGCACGGTCGCACTGTTCAGCCCTTTAACGTTGAGCCAAGTGTCGCACAAGAAAAATAAAAAAGTGCAAATCAAACTTTTTTCGGAGGCACAATGGCTGTTAAGTCAGTTTGCGTATTTCACAAACTAGGCAGAGCTCCATAAGAGAGTAAGATCCTGGTGATGCTGGTTACCTGTGACCGAGTCCCATTCGTTATCCATGACATTGGATCGTGGTTCAGGCCGTCAACTCCCAGGCGGATACAAAGAATGCATTTAGATTCTGAACTTATTTAAATAT